GAAGGCCATCTCGCGGGACCCCACGGATATGATGATGTTCGCTCTGACAGCAGAGAGAGACTGCTCAGTCTATGCACTGACCACCAACTTTCGTCACTCTAGACGCCACCATGCCACCTGGCCTCCTCCATCGTCCACCCGGCACTGGTCACGAATTGATCACATAGCAATAAGTCGCAGGTGGTGCAGCAGCGTACGCGATTGCAGATCATTTTGCTCAACTTGTATTGAAACTGATAATGCATTGAGGTGTGTGACAGTTTGCATGCGTTTCGATGCCTCACCTAGAGCCAAACAAACACAACGGAGCATTTACAAGTTGGATGACCCAACAGAGGCCTCGTGAAATTCTCTGTCTCTCCTCTACTCTGGATGTCCTCTACCCTGGATGTCGATCAACACTGCTCAAATTTGCAACAGGCCGTGCTCTCCACCGACTTGTCGTGCTGCAGCCTTACCTGCTGCACAGCCAAAAGCTGGATCTCGGTAAGATCCTGGGAACGGTTAGATCGTCGAAGGGCTATGCCCGCCGACGCGGAGCACAGCGAACTCCGTCGGCCTATCTCTCAACAGCTGAAACCAAGTTTTTACTCTGATCGTGAATCCTTAGTCAAGTCAAGTCAGTATAAGCTTTATGTACCCAAAAGGGTGCATTTTCAGCATTTTACATTATCAACTGTAAATTTACAAGAGGGTTACCAGTAAAATGCAAATTTTACAAATGGATATAAAAATGAGGATGCACTGTCATAGATCAATCAAGCAACGATCCCAAAAAGTTGGACTAAATCTTCGGGATTTGTATCCAGTGAAAACGGAAAAGGTTTCGTAAAAATGTTTTTTTTTCAGAATTCGTTTCAACTGACATGGAATTTTGTGTCCAGCAACAATATATCGGGGATCATACGCGATATATTGTGTGCATATTCAATCTTGGATAGAGTAAAGGGTCGTAGTGGCCTTGGAAGTTGGTTTAACAAAATACGGTAGATAATGTAAAAATGATGTTTGGCGAAAAAGGCAACGGCCGATTTAAAGGCCCCTCCACAGCTCGAGTCGTGGTGGTCACAACGAGCCGCTGAGATGGAAGCCGGTATATCGGCTGGAAACTTCCGCAGTTTATTTTACCTCTTCAAGACCATTGGTTGCAATTCACGCGCTGGCAGTTAGACGATTATTGAGTTAGACGGCACGAAAATCACTAACCTGCACAAGCGCTTGGGTCGTTGGGCAGAGCACTTTGTTTTCCACTTTAACTGCTCAGCACAGCCCACTGTGACACCTCCCTTTCCCTCGGGCGGAGCTTGGCCTATCGTCACAGATGCTCCTACCGATACAGAGATCCGAAGCGCAGTCCAATCTTTGAAGCGTCATGAAGTTCCAGATTCTGACAACCTACCCACGGCTCTATTCAAAGATGTCGGGAATGCACTTGTCAACGAAATGCTATCACTGTTCACGAGAATCTGGACTGACGAGAAAGTCCCAATTGCTTGGGGAGAATCGGTCATTGTCCCGATTCACAAGAAAGGCTCCCGCGTGGATTGCGCCAATTACCGCGGAATTTCGTTGATCTATGTTGCCTCCAAGATTTTCGTGTCTGTTCTACTCTTCAGGCTCACCCACTAGAGATGGCGTTTACCGAGAGGAACAAGCGGGTTTCCGTCCAGTTCGACGTTGCATTGACCACATCTTCACACTCCGTCACGTTCTATGGAGATTAAACTGCTTCTCAAAATGTTCGACCCAACGCTTCAAGGGCTTTGACAAGCTGTGAATCGGCTGTCCACTCTCATCGCATATGGTCTCGCTAACATCAGGTTTCCTGCTGCCCGTTTCTCGTATTAAATGGAATAACTTCCGATGGTTACCAAGTGCAGCGGCTGTTTGCATCGAGGCACGATGAGACCACCGGGCTTCGCGCTTTCACTTCGGGCTAGCGCGTAGTTTCGTCCTGAGAGCTTTGCCAGTCTCATTATATTCACTTCCGGCTGGAACACGTCGGAGAGCATCCAGAAGTTCCAGAGACTGCATAGAGACCCAATGTCCAAGTTGGCAATTTGGCTTACCACATGAAGTCATGCCTGGTGCTAATAACGTCTGGCGAATATGAGACCAGTGACCGTCAAATGTGTTCAATGGGCATTTACTCAGCTCAGATGCCAGCGTACTTTGATACGCATCTGGCTTCGCCAGCTGCCAAATATCCATGCGTTCACAGCGCCGTTACGGACGTCCAACAAAACGCACCCCGAGGTAGGTGCAAACAAGCGCGTGGTCAGAGTCCACGCTCGTGCTCCAAATCGAGCGACAGTTTTGAACGCATTCTCTCCAGCGGTAACTGATCGCAATGTGGTCGATTCGCGTCCATGGCTGGTCCGAGGCTGGTGGGTGCCATGTCACCCTCTGGCGTGTGCTGTGTCGGAAGTTAGCGCTCGCGAGAAAGAGACGAGCTTCTTCACACAAATGTAGTAACGGCTCACCGTTATCATTAGGGGAGCCCACACCGTGTTTATGAAGCTTATCAGTGGACAGTTTTCCGACACGCGTTCAAATCACCAGCAAGTACCTCAGTGTCCGTACTTTTTCTGTGACGTGATAGAAGTCGTCTTTCACCGAGTCAGCGTTACAATTTGTTAGTGCATAGACCGCAGTGACAAAGAACCACCATTTGTCTCCACGCAACTGCTATGCTTCGGACGAGCCAGCCAATCCGACAGCTAACATCCGGCTGTTCATTGGGATCCGAGATCCATCAAGGCAGATTCAACCCGAAAGCTAAGAGAAATGCCCACACTGGCTTGACCGGTATTTGAAGCCGCTTCATCTCCGGACAAACGCAATGAGAAAATACCGCCAGTGTCGCATGTTGGGGATCGGAGGGTAATCACAGAACTCTTGCAGGCGAGTTTCTGACAAGCAGCAGACATCGATTGATAAGGTCTCCAGTGTCCGAGCAGGTGCTGTCAGTGGGCCAGTTTGCAACAAATTGCGCACATTGAGGCGCGCCAATCATAGAGAGGACCGAGGTCTCCAAATAGAAGCAGCGGAACCGACTGGACATTAACTTGTCGACTAGAGCGGAGCGACGCCCTGCGACTGCGTGTGAGTCGAAACTAGAAGATGAAAGATTAATGAACAAAGATAGGGGAGGGTCAAGAATTGGGGGGATTGAAAACAGGGGGGGATAAAAGTGAAGTTGGAACGGCACGATAAGGATGAAAAAGCGCAAGAGGGTGGATAAGAAGATGGGAAAGCTTGGACAGAAGCATGAAAAAAACGCTATACACACCCTGCTTGATGCAGCAGATAGGACACCGTTTATTATCCTCTGCGGCGGCCAATCAGAAAATTATTTGAAGAATTTGCCGTATGAACAAAGGCTTAGAGTCCTCGGGGTATTCAGCGGACAATACCGGTGATTGCCTGGGGACCACATTTTGACTTACCAGATTTTGTGAATTTTCAACCGCAGGTGCCGCCATTTGCTAAAGCTCAGTCACAGCGGTAATCTGAGAGGCTACCATCTCAATCTGGCAGAGCAGTACTGTCGTTTAGAATGCCATTGGAATTTCTTTTCTGTACGCGTTTACCAAGCGTGGAACGACCTACCGGAGTCTGTCATCTGTGCTTCCACTCTGGTAGAGTTCAGAGCCCGAGTTGACCGCACACTTATTTCCCTTCATCATCTCACATGACTCATTGCCCAAGACTAAACATGTTAGAGATTTCGTTGCCCGCCTGAAACCACTGCACTCCATGACGCGTTTCGAGGTTATTTCCTCTCATCAGATATAGCAGGCATTGAACCCGGGACCATTGGGATGTTAGTTGTGTACCGGGTTCGATGCTTGCTATCTCTATCCGATGAGAGGAAATAACTTCGAAACGTGTCATGGAGTGCAGTGGTTTCAGGCGGGCAACACCCAATTTGCTGCTGCTTCATCAGCTACGGTCCTAGTGATCGAATGGCCAAGGTTCACTTCAATGGGAATCGCGGTCCACTTTGAGATTGCGCGTCCCAATCCATCCACACAACGTGTACTTCAAATTGACTTTCCAATCTGTCATTAACCGTTGCGCCAAGCTTTGCCCGTCGTGACCCGGTGGCTTAGGGGTGGCGGTCACAACTAACATCCCAATGGTCCCGGGTTCGATTCCTTGCCATCTCTATCTGATGAGAGGAAATAACCTCGAAACGCGTCATGGAGTGCAGTGGTTTCAGGTGGGCAACACCCAATTTGCTGCTGCTTCATCAGCTACGGTCCTAGTGATCGAATGGCCAAGGTTCACTTCAATGGGAATCGCGGTCCACTTTGAGATTGCGCGTCCCAATCCATCCACACAACGTGTACTTCAAATTGACGTTCCAATATGTTCGAGATTTCATTGCCGTCAACTCATTGAATACCTTCCACTTCTTCACCGCCACTTTGTGTTCAAGAGGAGGCAGCATAATGTCTAATAACGTCCTGTTTGTCGTCACTATTTATGGAGTTACAGCTTTTGATAGCTATACCTCGCTGAGTCTACTGGTATGAACACACTAGGTGACAGTTTTTCCATATTCATCATGACCATCCTACAGGACCTGCTGAGCTTTACCTTTTTATCTGTATAAAATCTTAGGAAGTGACCATTTCCTTCAGCCTTCTTTTATTTTACACACAAATATGCTGCAGTTCTTGTGAGTACGCGGCGCTATAAATGGGCTTATTTGCTATAGTAGTAGTGGTAGCAGTAGTAGTAGTATTTGTTGATTGACTCGGGGACTGTTCATCGCGTATGGGAATAATTACTTGTATGCATTCATAGAATATTGCCATTGAGAACTTATGTGCACCGATCTGGTGTGTTTTTAGTGATTCCAAGTTCAAACCTCAGTGGGGCTTACTCTTGCAAATTTTCTAATCTCAGGCAAACAACTGATTCGGGAGTTGAAGTTCTGTGCCGCCTACGCGGAGGCCTGCAAACAGGTCGCCGACCAATGCCAGACTCGAATGATCAATCTGTACTCCTCGATGCTAGCCCAACAAGTGCGTTCGTTGTACACGAATGTTTAATTCATAGAACATGCTTTCAGTGTCCTTTCTAGAGCCGAATGAATTTTGCTATCGTTTTGTTTGGAGCTTCATTTGCGCTCCATCCATTTCTGTCAATTTCCTTGCGTGATGACTCGGGATTTTTAGACTCCTAACTAAAAACCAGCTAGAGGTAGGAGTAAGTAAAGCCAATGAAAAACGTTACCCGGCTTGCTTCCCGTGTCTATTCATCAACGCCTCGCGAGGTCGTGCGTATGCGTTTGTCCGCTAAGGCCACGAAACAATACTTTTTCTTAGTCTAAGGGAAGCTGTTTCTCTGACAACACTAACAGCGAACCAACTATGGTTTCCCATGTACCTCAAAAGACTGATTTCTCTATCTTCAGCATTTGCGTGCTTCCCATCTTCGTTCAGATTCATTCCCAGTGTACATATGATGTCTTACAACCTTCCACTGCCGATGCTTTGAAACTTTACGCGACGAAGTCCCTTGACTAACTCGGCATTGTGTTCCACTTTTTTGTGAGACTAGCGAGCTGAGGTATTTCTCACCTTTAAGAAACGTGTAATGATAATGATTATTATACAGGAGCGCGCTACGCCTTAATCACTGTATTAAAGCATTATCGTCAAATCTCGCACGTCTCGGTCTATTTCTTTTGCAACAGAACTGGCGCGACTTCTTCAGCGATGGTCTTCACTTTTCTCGTAAAGGGTCGGAGTTCCTGGCGAACATCTTCATTTCTATGTTCAGTGAAATCCTCGTTGATTGTCCATTACGGTACCCCGATTGGAAGAACGTTGACAAAGCGAATGCATCCTTTTCACTAACCCAATAAATATAATAGTCTCTTTCAACATTCTGAGTAACCACATTCACTCTTTTTGATTTGCAATGCCTTCGAACCAGTGTTCACAACAAAATCGTCTTCTGATCAGTTACGACCTATCAATTCACCCGAAATTTCTTCGGCGCACAACCGCCAGGGACCGCGTTCAGAGGACGATCCGATCTCGGACCTCAACTAGTTGTGGGCTTACAGCATTGGATTCTTGATTTGGTGTGGAAAATATGATGTTTCATGCGGAAATCGACTCACTCACTGAATCCTCTTATAGTTCCGGACCAGGTGTTATAGAGCACCGATCACTATAGATTCTTGATCAGTTTTGGGATCCAGAGATAGGCGATCGTGTCCCTATTCAATACTGGGTCGTGCGAGATTGACGACCCATTGTGCGCACAGCATTGGTAACTCGGTATTGTGTGTCGTCAGAGTTACTGGCAGACTTTATAGCACCGATTTTCCAACAAACTGCTAACGTTTTGCGTGTACAGAATAGTTTAGATGATGTTCGCTTCTAATGTATTTCTTCATATTATTTATTTTATATACACAGCAATCTATACGAAAAGACACCAGGCCATTCAAAACCACAGAATTAGAGATTAAAATATAGGAAAGTGTACAACTTGGTTAACCAATACTAACGAGAAGCAAAGAACATAGTTAATTTTTGGCTTGCACTTTTTTCTTTCGAAGTCTGGAATTCATTCGAACATACGCAAGTTACCTCTACTAAAACTGGTTCTGTGCAATTGGTTCGAGCGTGGTAAGTCACCGGCATTCTTCATCTTTAGGTCGCCAACCAGGAAGACGTACGTGGCTAATGTCAGCTAGACAAGATGTCAGTGATTTCATGTTTTGTCCATAAATGATCGGTTAGCTTCCACACCGCTTCTTCCAATGTGGCCCTGCGAACCAAATGGTGTGCGGCGTGGTAAACGTTCGTTAGGTTTGCGTAGGACGTGGCCAACTTATCTCAATTAGCGCAGCAAAACAAGCTCACCGAGGATAAGACCCATTTCGCCCAAGACTCGATGCCTGACCTCATCATTGCGCACTGGGTGTTGCTACCACACACGAGCGATCATCCTCAAACAGACACTGTCAAAAGCCGAAAGTTTACGCATGTCGTCTACACGGATCGGCCAGGACTCGCATCCACACAACAGTATCGTGCAAACACTGGCATCGTAGACCCTACCTTTAACTTGAGCGGAAGGTCGTGACAACGCCACAACTGCTTCGTTATCAAGAGCCATCAAGCTTTAGCTGTAGGAAAGAATACTTCTCCAATAATTCCGTCGACAGAAGTGCAACTCCTTAGGTAGACCAAACTATCCACGGGTTCGAGCTGTAGCCGTCGATGCTGACCTTAGGAAGGAGTGCCTGCTATTCCTGTAGCAGCACTTTACGCTTGGAGGAGGAAAAGCACACGACGTACCTAGACACTTCAACCACCAATCGGCCAAGGATCAATTGCATACGATGAGCCATCACCAAGCCAGGCGGTATCGACAGCCTATTCTAAGCCAGTTGCGCGATTACCTGGAATTAGTTCAATGCCAAAAACACCGCAACCTTTCTAAACCTTCCAACAGGACGACTTCTGTCGCAAAGTTGACGAGAACTGGAGATATAGGGCATCCTTACAGCACATCACTGGCAACGGTAGAGTGCGGGAAGCTTGCCATAGGCTTTCATCCTGCCTGAAGTATTGGAGGTATAGTGCTCGAAGTGTAGCGACGTGATTTTCGGGAACTCCATTCTTTATCAGGCATTGCCATAGGGCAGGTCGGTCCACTGGGTCGAACGGAGTCCCGACGACGATGGTGGGTATTGTTTCACGCGTTGGAGCTAGCGTGCGGAACATGATGTGTACTAGTATCCTGAAGGTCACCAATGTCCGACTGATTCCTCCGTGATTTGCACATGAAGTAGAAGGGCTGTTCTTGAAAATCGCAACAGTTACTGATCTAAAAGCCGCTTTCCATTCTGTTGACCGAACCAACTTGTGGCACCACCTATCTGTGGAGGGATTGTCAGGTAAACTCCTTTCCATTCTGAATTCTCTACCGTTACTCCTAAGGCCGGGTAAGGGTCTATGGGAAGCTGTGTTCCGAGTTCCTCACTGCAAATGGGGTTCGCCATAGTTGTCCTATATCTCTTGTCCTCTCCAACTTTGTGATCGTAATGATCTTACACTACTATGTTCTTCCAGAGTGCAAGTTCTGTCAAGTGACCGACTGACAAACCCAGAGTATGCGAACGACATATCTTTTCTTGGGTCTGACGCAGTGGTTAAGGAAGCACTGCTAACTAGACTGACGCGTAAAGCTGCACGCTTGGGTATACGCTTTGCACCTTCAAACTGCAAGACGTTGTTACGGGAATAGACTGATCCGAAACCGGTTTTTTCTATTACCCAAAAAACCACTGGAAGTGGTGGATCGGTTCGCTTACCTTGGTAGTTGTGTCACTTCTGGTAGTCACACCACTGAAGTTACATGGGGTATCAGCAAGGCCCGTGTAGCATTTTATAGGCTCAACGATCTAGAGAGACGGCAGGATTTCAGTCTGTCAGTGAAAGGTGACAGCTGGGCGAGAAAGCTGATTGCCAACGCGCGCATGTTTGCCACAAATCGGGCTTGGGAAAGACCCTGCGAGCGTGTTTCCAGGGCCCAGTCGAAAACTGATGAAATCGCGCATCAGATAACAGGCGTGTTGCCAAGGCCTGACCGGAAGCTGATGAAATCACACGTCAGACATCACGTGCGTTGTCATGCACCGGGTAGGCGGACGAAGACTGGAGTGCCCGAGCAAGACGGTGAACTGGACAGACGGAGCGGACAAGCAAGTGTGGAGCGTGAGCTTACAGCCAAGGGTTGGTGAGACAGACATAAATATCAGCGTTCTCTGTCCTAATACAACTCTGGTATGCTGAGTCTTCTGTCTTCCTTCCTGTTGGGTTTGTGAAGGTGTCAAACAGAGCAGGCGTAAGGGCGCAGATTTGCCAGCTGGCGTGAATCAGCCGGTCGATTGCGGGCTCAGCGTTATAACAGTGGCGACGCGAGTACAACCGAATCCAGAAATGGCAATCAGTTTTGAACAGTTGCAGATGCCTTTGCAGCAACAACAGGTGCAGTTTGAAGCATCCCAAGTCAAGCTGATCGAGATGCTAACGCAGAAGCTGACATTGCAGTCAAGCCCAGGGTTAGGGACAAGTGTAAGTGTTCCCTCACCAGAAACCCTGACTCAGCAGATCAGTGAGTTCCATTATGATGCTGATGCTGGTATAACATTTGTTTCTTGGTTCCACAAGTATGAAGACATGTTCCGGGTTGATTTCGCCAACCTTCCAGCGGAAAAGAAGATTCGACTAATGCTGTGGAAGCTGAGTACTGCCGAACACGTGAAGTTCACCAATTTTATCTTACCTAAAAAGAGTACCAATTTGTCGTTCGATGAAGTGGTTTCAGTCCTGTCGCAGATTTTCGGAGAGCAGACATCTTTGTTCAACATCCGGTACAAGTGTCTGACAATAACAAAAAAGGAAGACGAATGCTGGGTCGACTATTCCAGCCGTGTGAATCGAGAGTGCGAACGAGCACAACTACACAAGATGACAAGTGATCAGTTTAAATGTCTCATATACGTTTGTGGCCTACAAGCATCCAAAGACGCCGACATTCGAACACGAATACTGAACAAACTTGAGCAGAATCCGGATGTCACATTGCAGCAAGTGACCGGTGAGTGCCAACGCATGACGAATCTGAAACACGATATCGCAATGATTCAGCAGTTGTTCAGTCAGAACGATCAAGATTTTGTCTGTGCAGTCAGCTGTACTCCCCAAAAAGAAGCTCCCCACGTGAGTTCACCGCATTCTAAACCTCCCTCTGTATGTTGGTTTAGTAGAGATTGGCATTTTGCTCGCGATTGCCTATTCAAAACCCACACTTGCAACCGTTGCGTCAGAAAAGGGCATAAGGAGTCATGTTGCCTGACAACTCGTCCAATTTTGACCCAGAAGATACGTAACAATGCCAGATCGTTCCGGCGTCCCAATTTGACCAGATCTATCACCGCAACTTTCAAGGTTGACGGGGCCAGCAAGCGCAAATACACAATTGTGAAAAGCAACGGCTTCCAACTCAAGTTACAAATCGACACGGCTTCAGATATCACCCTGATATCTTGCGACACTTGGTGCATGCTGGGGCGACCGACACTCAAACAAACGGGCCACATGGCACGGAATGCTTCAGAAGGCAGGTTAAAAGTGCTTGGTGAACTGAATTGTCAAGTAAACTTCCGCGATAAACAAATCCAGACGACATGTTTCGTGACAGACCAGCCGGGGTTAGATTTGTTGGGGCTCGACTAGATGGATGAACTGAATCTGCTTGATCAAACAGTGAACAGTATATGTCAGCCACCACAAGTCAATCTGCTGTCGTAAGCGTCGACTTCAAGTCCGATGTTTCAAAGTCAGATTACCGAGATAAAACGTCAGGATGCATTATTCCAACCTGGTCTCGGCTGCTGCAATATAGCTACTGCCGCATTGAACCTTAAATCAGCGGCCAAGCCAGTCTTTATACCAGGATGCCTGGCGCCCTACGCAACCCAGTCCTTAGTGCAAACCGAGTTAAACCGACTACAATCTGAAGGGATAATCGAACGAGTTTACTATTCAGAATGGGCAGCACCTATCGTGGTGGTAAAGAAAAAAACCCGTAAAGTCCGTATTTGTGCTGATTTCTCGACAGCTTTGAATTCTGTGTTGGAAGATCATCAGTATCACCTGCCGGTACCAGAAGACTTGTTCAGCCAACGCAATGGGGAAGGGTGTTTCGCAAAAGTTGACCTAGCTGATGCGTATCTGCAAATCCCAGTTGCTCATCAGTGCAGAAAATTACTGACAGTAAATACCTACCTCGGACTTTTTCAGTACAACCGACTGCCGTCCGGAGTGAAAACCGCACCGGCCATTTTTCAACAAATAATGGATACCCTGCTGAGTGATATCCCAAATACAGCAGTATACCGGGACGATGCGTTGATTATGGGCTCAGATCCGCAAGACTTTATACAGACGCTGGAGAGAGTGCTTTCGCGTCTCGAAGATGCTGGAATCCGATTACGGGCTGAAAAATTTGAGTTCCTATTAGAAAGCGTCAAATTTCTTGGGTTTGTCACCTACAAACATGGCCGACGCCCGGATCCCGCCAATATTGAAGCCATCAAAAAGATGAAGCCCCCAGAAGACATTGCAGAACTCCGCTCGTTTCTTGGGCTCGTTAGCCATTACAGCGCTTTCCTACCAAGCCTTCACCAAACTAGAGGTCCTCTGAACCAACTACTGACAAAAGACAAGGGTTGGAAATAAACGAAGGAGTGCCAGCAGTCTTCTGATGCAGTCAAAGCAGCTCTCACTTCTGGTCTACTCTTGACTCATTTCAATCCGAAGTTCAAAATTGTCGTTGCTACGGACACTTCCAACTATGGTGTCGGTGCCGTTATCCACGTTTTTCCGCATGGAGGAGAGAAGGCTATCGCTGGATCTCGGTAAGATCCTGGGAACGGTTAGATCGTCGAAGGGCTATGCCCGCCGACGCGGAGCACAGCGAACTCCGTCGGCCTATCTCTCAACAGCTGAAACCAAGTTTTTGCTCTGATCGTGAATCCTCAGTCAAGTCAAATCAGTATAAGCTTTCTGTACCCAAAAGGGTGCATTTTCAGCATTTTACATTATCAACTGTAAATTTACAAGAGGGTTACCAGTAAAATGCAAAGTTTACAAATGGATATAAAAATGAGGATGCACTTTCATAGATCAATCAAGCAGCGATCCCAAAAAGTTGGACTAAATCTTCGGGATTTGTATCCATTGAAAACGGAAAAGGTTTCGTAAAAATGTTTTTTTTTCAGAATTCGTTTCAACTGACATGGAATTTTGTGTCCAGCAACAATATATCGGGGATCCTACGCGATATATTGTTTGCATATTCAATATTGGATAGAGTAAAGGGTCGTAGTGGCCTTGGAAGTTGGTTTAACAAACTACGGTATATAATGTAAAAATGATGTTTGGCGAAAAACGCAACAGCCGATTTAAAGGCCCCTCCACAGCTCGAGTCGTGGTGGTCACAACGAGCCGCTGAGATGGAAGCCGGTACATCGGCTGGAAACTTCCGCAGTTTATTTTACCTTATCAAGACCATTGGTTGCAATTCATGCGTTGGTATTTAGACGATTATTGAGTCAGACGGCACGAAAATCACTAACCTGCACAAGCGCTTGGGTCGTTGGGCAGAGCACTTTGTTTTCCACTTTAACTGCTCAGCACAGCCCACTGTGACACCTCCCTTTCCCTCGGGCGGAGCTTGGCCTATCGCCACAGATGCTGCTACCGAAACAGAGATCCGAAGCGCAATCCAATCTTTAAAGCGTCATAAAGCTCCAGATTCTGACAACCTACCCACGGCTCTATTCAAAGATGTCGGGAATGCACTTGTCAACGAAATGCTATCACTGTTCACGAGAATCTGGACTGACGAGAAAGTCCCAATTGCTTGGGGAGAATCGGTCATTGTCCCGATTCATAAGAAAGGCTCCCGCGTGGATTGCGCCAATCACCGCGGAATTTCGTTGATCTATGTTGCCTCCAAGATTTTCGTGTCTGTTCTGCTCTTTAGGCTCACCCACTAGAGATGGCGTTTACCGAGAGGAACAAGCGGGTTTCCGTCCAGTTCGACGTTGCATTGACCACATCTTCACACTCCGTCACGTTCTGTGGAGATTAAACTGCTTCTCAAAATGTTCGACCCAACGCTTCAAGGGCTTTGACAAGCTGTGAATCGGCTGTCCACTCTCATCGCATATGGTCTCGCTAACATCAGGTTTCCTGCTGCCCGTTTCTCGTATCAAACGGAATAACTTCCGGTGGTTACCAAGTGCAGCGGCTGTTTCCATCGAGGCACGATGAGACCACCGGGTTTTGCGCTTTCACTTCGGGCTAGCACGTAGTTTCGTCCAGAGAGCTTTGCGAGTCTCATTGTATTCACTTCCGGCTGGAACACGTCGGATAGCATCCAGAAGTTCCAGAGACTGCGTAGAGACCCAATGTCCAAGTTGGCAATTTGGCTTACCACATGAAGTCATGCCTGGTGCTAATAACGTCTGGCGAATATGCGACCAGTGATCTCCAATTGTGCTCAATGGTCATTTACTCAGCTCAGATGCCAGCGTACTTTGATACGCATCTGGCTTCGCCAGCTGCCAAATATCCATGCGTTCACAGCGCCGTTACGGACGTCCAACGAAACGCACCCCGAGATAGGTGCAAACAAGCGCGTGGTCAGAGTCCAGGCTCGTGCTTCAAATCGAACGACAGTTTTGAACGCATCCACTCCAGCGGTAACTGATCGCAATGTGGTCGATTCCCGTCCATGGCTGGTCCGAGGCTGGTGCGTGCCATGTCACCCTCTGGCGGGTGCTGTGTCGGAAGTTAGCGCTCGCGAGAAAGAGACGAGCTTCTTCACACAAATGTAGTAACGGTTCACCGTTATCATTAGGGGAGCCCACACCGTGTTTATGAAGCTTAGCAGTGGACAGTATTCCGACACGCGTTCAAATCACCAGCAAATACCTCAGTGTCCGTACTTTTTCTGTGACGTGATAGAAGTCGTCTTTCACCGAGTCACCGTTACGATTTGTGAGCGCATAGACCGCAGTGGCAAAGAACCACCATTTGTCTCCACGCAACTTCTATGCTTCGGACGAGCCAGCCAACCCGACAGCTAACATCCGGCTGTTCATTGGGATCCGAGATCCATCAAGGCAGACTCAACCCGAAAGCTAAGAGAAATACCCACACTGGCTTGACCGGTATTTGAAGCCGCTTCATCTCCGGACAAACGCACTGAGAAAATACCGCCAGTATCGCATGTTGGGGATCGGAGGGCGATCACAGAATTCTTGCAGGCGAGTTTCTGACAAGCAGCAGACATCGATTGATAAGGTCTCCAGTGTCCGAGCAGATGCTGTCAGTGCGCCAGTTTGCAACAAATTGCGCACATTGGGGCGTCCCAATCATAGAGAGGACCGAGATCTCCAAATAGAAGCAGCGGAACCGACTGGACATTAACTTGTTGACTAGAGCGGAGCGACGCCCAGCGACTGCGTGTGAGTCGAAACTAGAAGATGAAAGACTAATGGACAAAGATGGGGGAGGGTCAAGAATTGGGGGGATTGAAAACAGGGGAGATAAAAGTGAAGTTGGAACGGCACGATAAGGATGTAAAAGCGCAAGAGGGTGGATAAGAAGATGGGAAAGCTTGGGCAGAAGCAAGAAAAAAACCCTATACACACCCTGCTTGATGCAGCAGATAGGACACCGTTTATTATTCTCTGCGGCGGCCAATCAAGAAATTATTTGAAGAATTTGCCGTATGAACAAAGGTTTAGAGTCCTCGGGGTATTCATTGGACAATACCGGTGATTGCCTTGGGACCACATTTTGACTTACCAGATCTTGTGAATTTTCAACCGCAGGTGCCGCCATTTGCTAAAGCTCAGTCACAGCGGTAATCTGAGAGGCTACCATTTCAATCTGGCAGAGCAGTACTGACGTTTAGAATGCCATTGGAATTTCTTTTCCGTACGCATTTTCCAATCGTGTGGAACGACCTACCGGAGTCTGTCATCTGTGCTTCCACTCTGGTAGAGTTCAGAGCCCGAGTTGACCGCACACTTATTTCCCTTCATCATCTCACATGACTCATTGCCGAAGACTAAACGTGTTAGAGATTTCATTACCGTCAACTCACTGAATACCTTCCACCTCTTCACCTCCTCTATGTGTTCACGAGGAGGCAGCATAATGTCCAATAACGTCCCATTTGTCGTCACTACTTATGGAGTTACAGTTTTTGATAGCTATACCTCGAGGAATCTACTGGTATGAACACACTAGCTGACAATTTTTCCATATTCATCATGACCATCCTACAGGACCTGATGAGCTTTCCCTTTTTTACCTGTATAAAATCTTAGAAAGTGACCATTTCCTTCAGCCTTCTTTTCTTTTACACACAAATATGCTGCAGTTCTTGTGAGTACGCGGCGCTATAAATGGGCTTATTTGCTATAGTAGTAGTGGTAGCAGTAGTAGTAGTATTTGTCGATTGACTCGGGGACTGTTCATCGCGTACGGGAATAATTACTTGTATGCATTCATAGAATATTGCCATTGAGAACTTATGTGCACCGATCTGGTGTGTTTTTAGTGATTCCAAGTTCAAACCTCAGTGGGGCTTACTCTTGCAAATTTTCTAATCTCAGGCAAACAACTGATTCGGGAGTTGAAGTTCTGTGCCGCCTACGCGGAGGCCTGCAAACAGATCGCCGACCAATGCCAGACTCGAATGATCAATCTGTACTCCTCGATGCTAGCCCAACAAGTGCGTTCGTTGTACACGAATGTTTAATTCATAGAACATGCTTTCAGTGTCCTTTCTAGAGCCGAATGAATTTTGTTATCGTTTTGTTTGGAGCTTCATTTGCGCTCCATCCATTTCTGTCAATTTCCTTGCGTGATGACTCGGGATTTTTAGACTCCTAACTAGAAACCAGCTAGAGGTAGGAGTAAGTAAAGCCAATGAAAAACGTTACCCTGCTTGCTTCCCGTGTCTATTCATCAACGCCTCGCGAGGTCGTGCGTATGCGTTTGTCCGCTAAGGCCACGAAACAATACTTTTTCTTAGTCTAAGGGAAGCTGTTTCTCTGACAACACTAACAGCGAACCAACTATGGTTTCTCATGTACCTCAAAAAACTGATTTCTCTATCTTCAGGATTTGCGTGCTTCCCATCTTCGTTCAGATTCATTCCCAGTGTACATATGATGTCTTACAACCTTCCACTGCCGATGCTTTGAAACTTTACGCGACGAAGTCACTTGATTACCTCGGCATTGTGTTCCACTTTTTTGTGAGACTAGCGAGCTGAGGTATTTCTCACCTTTAAGAAACGTGTAATGATAATGATTATTATACAGGAGCGCGCTACGCCTTAATCACTGTATTAAAGCATTATCGTCAAATCTCGCACGTCTCGGTCTATTTCTTTTGCAACAGAACTGGCGCGACTTCTTCAGCGATGGTCTTCACTTTTCTCGTAAAGGGTCGGAGTTCCTGGCGAACATCTTCATTTCTATGTTCAGTGAAATCCTCGTTGATTGTCCATTACGGTACCCCGATTGGAAGAACGTTGACAAAGCGAATGCATCCTTTTCACTAACCCAATAAATATAATAGTCTCTTTCAGCATTCTGAGTAGCCACATTCACTCTTTTTGATTTGCAATGCCTTAGAACCAGTGTTCACAACAAAATCGTCTTCTGATCAGTTACGACTTATCAATTCACCCGAATTTCTTCGGCACAACAACCGCCAGGGACCGCCTTCAGAGGACGATCCGATCTCGGACCTCAACTAATTGTGGGCTTACAGCATTGGATTCTTGATTTGGTGTGGAAAATATGATGTTTCATGAGGAAATCGACTCACTCACTGAATCCTCTTATAGTTCCGGACCAAGTGTTCTAGAGCACCGACCACTATAGATTCTTGATCAGTTTTGGGATCCAGAGATAGGCGACCGTGTCCATATTCAATACAGGGTCGTGCGAGATTGACGATCCATTGTGCGCACAGCATTGGTAACTCGGTATTGTGTGTCGTCAGAGTTACTGGCAGACTTTATAGCACCGATTTTCCAACAAACTGCTAACGTTTTGCGTGTACAGAATAGTTTAGATGATGTTCGCTTCTAATGCATTTCTTCATATTATTTATTTTATATACACAACAATCTATAGGAAAAGACACCAGGCCATTCAAAACCACAGAATTAGAGATTAAAATATAGGAAAGTGTACAACTTGAAAAAAAAGCACCAATACTAACGAGAAGCAAAGAACATTGTTGATTTTTGGTTTGCACTTTTTTCTTTCGAAGTCTGGAATTCATTCGAACATACGCAAGTTGCCTCTACTAAAACTGGTTCTGTGCAATTGCTTGGGGCGTGGTAAGTCACCGACATTCTTCATCTTTAGGTCGCCAACCAGGAAGACGTACGTGGCTAATGTCAGCTAGACAAGATGTCAGTGATTTCATGTTTTGTCCATAAATGGTCGGCTAGCTTCCACACCGCTTCTTCCAATGTGGCCCTGCGAACGCAAATGGTGTGCGGCGTGGTAAACGTTCGTTAGATTTGCGTAGCCAACTTATCTCAATTAGCGCAGCAAAACAAGTTCACCGAGAATAAGACCCATTTTACCAAAGACCCGATACCTGACCTCATCATTGCGCACTGGGTGTTGCTACCACACACGAGCGATCGTCCTCAAACAGACACTGTCAAAAGCCGAAAGTTTACACATGTCATCTACACGGATCGGCCAGGACTCGCATCCACATAACAGTATCGTGCAAACACTGGCATCGTAGACCCTGCCTTTAACGTGAGCGAAAGGTCGTGAGCACGCCACAACTGCTTCGTTATCAAGAGCCATCAAATTTTTTGTGTAGGTTCGTCGCAGTTAGACACAGGCAGACAGCCACCACACATGCAGGAAGCGCTAGACGGCCGTTTCGTCCTATTGGGACTTGTCAGTAGCGTGCACCCACCGAATCCTGCCGGATTCGAACCTACCTTACTCTTGCGAGTCAGTCAGTCACTGAGCCATGGGCGACGGCGACGGACCGCCATGACTGATATCTAACTGCGATGTAGCGCGGCTCATCCTCCACTGTCTTGCATGTTATGAATGTGCAGAGGACAGGGCAGGCCCCCCAAAGCAACGACTTCCTTTGCAAGCCGCAACCAATCGAGGTGGCATGTAAACTTGGAGGAGGAAAAGCACACGACGTACCTAGACACTTCAACCACCAATCGGCCAAGGATCAGTTGCATACGACAAGTCATTATCAAGCGAGGCGGTATCGCCAGCCTATTCTAGGCCATTTGCGCGATTACCTGGGAGGAGTTCAATGCCAAAAACACCGCAACCTTTCTAAAGCTTCCAACAGGACGACTTCTGTCGCAAAGTTGGCGAGAACTGGAGATATAGGGCATCCTTACAGCACACCACTGGCAACGGAAGAGTGCGGAAAGCTTGCCGTAGGCTTTCATCCCACCTGAAGTATGGAGGTATAGTGCTCGAGGTGTAACGACGTGATTTTCGGGAACTCCATTCTTTAGCAGGCATTGCCAGAGAGCAGGTCGATCCACTGGATCGAACGAAGTCCCAACGACGATGGTGGGTATTGTTTCACGCGTTGGAGCTAGCGTGCGGAACATCATGTGTACTAGTATCCTGGAGGTCGCCGATATCCGACTGATTCCTCCGTGATTTGCACATGAAGTAGAAGGGCTGTTCTTGAAAATCGCAACAGTTACTGATCTAAAAGCCGCTTTCCATTCTGTTGATCGAACCAAATTGTGGCACCGCTTTTCTGTGAGGGGATTATCAGGTAAACTCCTTTCCATTCTGAATTCTCTACCCTTACTTCGAAGGCCGCGTAAGGATATACGGGAAGCTGTCTTCCGGGTTCCTCATTGCAAGTGGGGTTCGCCATAGTTGTATCACTTGTCCTCTCCAACTTTGTGATGGTAATGATCATACACTACTATGTTCTTCCAGACTCTTCCAGAGTGCAAGTTCTGTCAAGTGACCGACTGACAAACCCAGAGTATGCGAACGACATATCTTTTCTTGGGTCTGACGCAGTGGTTAAGAAAGCACTGATAAATAGACTGACGCGTAACGCTGTACGCTTGGGTATACGCTTTGCACCTTCAAAATGCAAGACGTTGTTACGGGAATAGACTGATCCGAAACCGGTTTTTTCTATCATCGAAAAACCACTGGATGTAGTGGATCTGGTCACTTACCTTGGTAGTTACGTCACTTCTGGTAGTCACACCACGGAAGTTACATGGCGTATCTGCAAGGCCCGTGTAGCATTTTATTGGCTCAACAATCTAGAGTGACGGCAGGATATCAGTCTGTAAGTGAAAGGTGACAGCTTGGCGAGAAACCTGATTGCCAACGCGCGCGTGTTTGCCACAAATCGTGCTTGGGAAATACCATGCGAACGTGTTTCCAGGGCCCAGCCGAAAGCTGATGAAATCGCGCATCAGACAACAGGCGTGTTGCCAAGGTCTGACCGGAAGCTGATGAAATCGCGCGTCAGACATCACGTGCATTGCCATGCAGCGGGTGGGCGGACGAAGACTGGAGTGCCCGAGCAAGACGGTGAACTGGACAGACGGAGCGGACAAACAAGTGTGGAGCGTGGGCTTACAGACAAATCCGCCTGGTGATGTTTGGAGGGTTGGTGAGACCCACATATAAATATCAGCGTTCTCTGTCCTAGTACAACTCTGGTCTGCTGAGCCTTCTGTCTTTCTCCCTGTCGGGTTTGTGAAGGTGTCAAACAGAGCAGGCGTAAGGGCGCAGATTTACCAGCAGGCGTGAATCAACCGGTCGATTGCGGGCTCAGCTTTATAACAAAAGGTAGGTTGCATAACACTATGGTAAGGACGGTGTTACTGGATCTATGAGAGACGTGGCCAATTCGGAGTAATGCATCATACACAAGGCCGTGTTTGACCACTGGTGCTTGCGGAAGATTGCTCACGTCTGATTGGAACACCGAATTAGCAATGCTGAGGTTCGCTAGTAGGTGTTTGGCCGGAAGGTTCCTGGTGCGTCACTCGAGTGTTTCATTTTTTGGTTAAGTCATGTCCCCCATACACCAGTTTATCGCCTTTTTCGGCGTGCATTATACACTGTGAATGCACCAAGTTGGGTGAAACTGCGAGATGATCAGTCGTTAACGCATTTCATTTTGATTTCATTTATATTCAGTCTCTTTTTTATCGCTGTTATTTATCTTGGGGAAGTGAGTCGTAATAAATGGATCCACTGCACTTCGATCTTCCGGTCATATTTGCTTAACTGAACTGAATTTGTTCACACTTGCCAACTATGACTAGAACTTCTAGGGTGTCGTTGGACCTGCGTCATTAGATCGAACTGGCCACAAATGAAGTCTTCCCTGTTCCCCATCCTTACGCCCAATTCACATGGTTGGCGGCATCCGGTTTCGGATTTGCCTGTCACTGTGGTCAGCCACAGGACGCCTGCGCCTACAGGGGGATCATGGGTGGCTTGCGCTGCACCACCCACAGCTCCATCCACACACCCCATATCCAGTGTAAACCCGAAGGAATAAGACCGGGAGGCATGTGGATGGGAGCCACGTTTCATCAACGGAGCCGGCCCACACTCCTTCACAGGCAAACACAAACACGCTGTATTTGGGGAATCAAGCGCACACAAGGCGGCGGCTGGACCATAGTCCGCTCCACACTGAGTGCATGGAACCGCTCTTTGATCCTAACACGGCCACAAGGACCGTGCACCCCGTCCCCTCCAGCAACGACCCACTATCTCCTGGAGCCAGTATGAACGAAGTAGTGGGTAATAGACAGGTAGACACCTTGTCAACATGCACATCAAGCGCAGCCACACCGGGGATATCAAGCAACAGGCAATCAATTGAGAGAAAGATAACAAATGAAATAAATCGAGTAATGCATAAGGAAAGGGTGATATAAATCTTAAATTAATGAGCATATGAAATAAGTTGTTTACAAAGGATCCGAGATAAGTTCACGAGGTCAGGAAGTATATTTTACTGAAATGCCACAAACACAAAAATGTTATCGAAATAAACTACAACTGGATTAAGCGACGTGTGAAGTTTATAGAAGAGAATACAGGCAGACATTTATATGAGAAAGAAAAGCATTAGGACAAAATTGAAAACCCACCACCTGAAATAAAGAGACTTAGGACGCAAGCACGCGGTTGGTAAATCAAATGCAGCGTACCTACAAACGCTGCGCCGGTTCTATCTACGTTCTCTGTAGGACCCGTCGTCGCTTCGGTAGTGGTCTCGAGTGGCCTCGCTCATGCCTCACTAAGCCTGCCTGACTAAGGCACTCGCGACCGCATGTGCTACAGCACCATGCGCTCGATGTCGATGGAGTAAAATCCATCGGTGCTTGCCGCTTCTTCTCTGCATGTATGAGGTCTTTCTCCCGCAC